CCGAGCGAAATTCAGCTTGTTGTTCACGCAGGTGCTGTTCCCGTACGCAACTGAGCCTCCGTAAGAGTAGGGCAGCGAGCAGTTTGGATGCGACACAAATGAGACTGATGCCACTATGGTTGGAGCAAATGGTCCGGTCTCCTGTAAAATGAAGCACTGCGTCCAATTCAGGATCACTTTCATCTGTGACTGAATTTGATCCTGCTGCTGCTGGAATTGGCCCCGTTTTCTCCGTCAACTGTTGAATTTCTTTTACAGAATGAGTTTCATAGGATTGACTTCAGTGCATTTGGAGACACAAGGTGTCGTCTTTTCGTCTAAGATTCAGCATGAGAGACTGTTCGGTGCCTGCGGGTTAGTTGTGAACCGGTACTGAAAAAGAAAACTGTTGAGCACCTCCTAAATATCTTGGATGCGTGTTTCGAAGACAAAGCACACATCACTACCAAGAGAACAAAAAGTGCTGCTTGTTGGCCGATGAGACCCAGGGTGCAGACGTTTAACGAGACCCTTGGTGTGAGGAACAAATTAGATATATCGATATCGCCCGTTGCGAAGTCAGGGGAAGTCGCTTGCTCAATATACGGGAAGTAGAGGGTTATACAAGGGGGGGAAAGACTGGAAGGAATAATATCGTTGAAGGAGTGGCGAGTGCAGGTGATACGCTCCAGGTACCCATTCAGTGAGAGCGGCCCTATTCGAAGTGTCCCCTTACTAACACTTGACCTCACAGTCTCACAAGATGGTGGCGTACACGGATGTTCGCTTGAAGGACTGCACACGGAGCGTTTGGCTCAATAGCCTGACCTACAAGGTAGTGGGAAGCAAGTCAAGGTCGGGAGTGTGACTGCAGACCCAATGGGATCTGCTTGAAGCCTATCCCTCACAGACTTTTAAGAGTTAGAACAATGCACATATGTTTTACGACCGTATTACGTTACGCACCTGCGATCACGCAGCCGCAGGCGAGAGTTAGCGGGTTTGCATCAATTTGACCAGGGGCTGCCTGGGTTGAGGCGGACGGTAGCAAACAATCGAGCACCGGGCGGTGCCCCCACCGTCAGAGACAATGCGCGGCATTCGTACACTAAGCCAATCGACCTGTGAACTTAAAACCCGTAAACCTGTTGTGCCCTATGTCTATGCCTTGAAGGAGGAGGGCCATCGACCACTACCCACCTCCGAAAAGGATGCTGAGACTGAGTTAGTCTGACCCCAACCATTGACCTGTCTGGTGTAAGTGGCTCTGAAAGTACCACCCAGTGTACCTCCATGGGTCACGGAAGTGGGTAAACCATCGTACCACATTAACATCTAGTGTCGTCGCGATGGGCTGAACATGGAGGTTGTCAGTCAACGCCTTCAACAATATACCATCGGGGTCCGAGAGTAACCCATGCGATAACGTTCGTGATCCATTGTTGATTTATTTAAAGTATGCCAATGGATTGAGGCACATAATCTCACTCCAAACAGTAATCTACCTTGAAGTGAAGCGGTTCCCGTTCTTTGCATACGGTGCGGTGGTCAATGTGTACTACGACAGTAAGGGCTATAAAACGACAATCTGATAACGGCACAAACTAAGAAGTGGTCCGTTTACGTTTACCGCTATACGCGAGGTACTCAATCGTGGAAAAACAAGTTAGGAATACTGACTTTCTCGGAGTGGTTTGGTATAGTCAACAGTAAACTGTAATTCAGCCTATCAATCGGCAAGTTGGTCAAAGTCGGTTAATATGGACTACGGCATGCACGAAAAGGATACTTCAAAAGTGGACAATAAAAAGCAAGGCAGTGGAAGCGAGAGAACTGCGTGCGACTCAAGCAATCCACCTCTGGATTTGCTTGAGGCTCAGTATTTGCTAACAAGTTATTCACTATTACGCATTGAAGATGCCATCTCGGTTAGGAAAATATTTGAAACCGAAGAGCCCAGTTAGGAGAACCAGTCAATGTATCAGCTTCGTAGCACCGCCACACTCCGGTCACAGTTGACAAATAGGCAAACGAACCACCTGCAGAATTCGCATATGTTTCGCATGAATAAGTGACCTATTCACGTCGCATCATTCATCTGGGGTGGTTTCAAACATAAATTGTATGTGACCACTCTGTGACAGTTTCGAAGTCTAACCAGTTGGTCTCTGGGTTGCTTAATCACACACCTACCCTTTCGTTTTGAGCTTATTCTAACAAACCCACATTTCACTGGATTTGTACCTCTAGGATTCGGGCCCAAAAAGTGACTTACACTATGTCCAGGTCCAGACGAAAATATCTGCTCAATAGTAAGGCAGTGATGATATCCCGGACCTACCATAACTACATCGACGAAGGCTGGTTCTTACCAAGATTAATGGAAACCAACGGCGGGTCGAATGCTGCCTGCATGCTAAACAAATTAAAAGAAACTGGATGAGAATTGTTAGTGAAATGGAAGATCAAAGAGAAGATGCAGTGATTCCATGGGATGTAAATACCTTCACCCAGCGACTGCGGGCAATTTTAATACTCCCGCTGACTACACTCTGTTCCCCCTATACTATGAGGTGAATCAACCAACAACAGTAGTACCTCAGCCATTTGAACTGATGCTTCGCTGCCATACAACCATGATGACCTAGGAAATAAAGAATAATAAGAGGGAGAGAAGGGAGACTTACCTGAAAACCTTAATGCCCTAAGCAAACATTCAGGGTCAAGGCGCCTACACCTTGTGTAGACAACATACCGTCACAAACAGCTGGCTATCGTGCAAATATAAGGCGGCATAGACGAGACAGCTTCCTTGCGGTTTTCACTGCCCCGCGTCATAATCAGCCATTACCCCGCAGATAACTCAGCATCAAACACACTTTAAACAGGCAATCCGATTAGGAGACGGCAGCAGACGTGCCACTGGTGTCTACCGCGAGCCATGTCCTGTAAACTCTCGAGCTAAACACAAGGCGAATCACGTGGACTCCAGTCCGGAAGGTGAGACGGACCAACCGCACCCAGTTTGGTCGTCAGTGACTTTATTTCCCGCTGCCAAGTCAACTTCTGTCCACCTCGAGCCTTGCGCCACCCTACATCTGGCAAACTAAACAAGGCCCTCCTAGGTAAGCGGTGACCAGGCATACGTAGCAGGTGCCCGAGCCAACGCAACTTATTCAGTGCTATTTGTTGTTCTAGGGAGCTAGCATGATTATCACTACCTAGTACTCGCCTATGCACATCATCGTTGCGGACACGCGGGTGCCATCCGACACCAGCAATGCTTCGCAGACAACGATGATCAAAGACTTGAAGGCGCCTCAGATCTCCAGACAGAAGTCTCAGTTGCAGACAGGAGAACGGCCCTCACTGTGGCCTTGTATACACAGCTTTCAGACGGAGGGAAATTCCGTTCTGTCGCCAAAGATGCCACAGGTTCAAGAAGACAGTTCTGGCCTCTGCAATGCGTGAGCTGACGTCAGTTCCTATGCACCCATCGTTGTTGATGCAGCTGCCAAGGTAAGTGAATTGATCAACCACCTCGAGTTCCCCGTTGGCAAGCGTCAAGGGGTCATCAAGTGGCTGGTAGTCCTGCAGCAACACCTTGCACTTTGAAGGTGCGAAGTGCATTCCAAATAATGGGACCACTCTAGACAGGCTATTCAGGGTTGATCGTCGGAAAGCAAGACGATATCGTCCGCATAATCAAGATCAAGCAATCTTTCACTAGACAGGACCTCAACGTTTACATCGTGAGATTCCGCAAGGGAACACTCCATGGTAGAATCCATGAGGAAATTCAATAAAAATGGGGAAATCGGACAACCCTGACGAACGCCACTTGTGGTCGGAAAGCTATCCGATAGACCACCGTAGACCCTGACGCAGCCTACAGTGTTCGAGTATAGAGCACATGGGATGTTCACATATTTCCTGGGAACACCTTTCCGCGCAAGTATTTCGAACAGAATCGAACGCGCTCTTGAAATCGAGGAACACAGCTATTGTCGGTCTGCGGTATGCGTGGCGTTGCTCTAGCACCTGTCGCAAAGTGAATATGTGGTCTATACAACCACGTCCTAGGAGGAAACCTGCTTACTCTTCCCTAATCCGAGATTCCCGTTCCGCAGTGAGGCGACGAACGAGAATCAAGGACAGTAATTTTGTCACAACTGGCGTTAGGTTAATACCCCTGTGGTTATAACAGCCTGTGCGGCTGCCCTTCTTGTATATTGCCACTATACTCGATTCGCTCCAATTAGCCGGGACACTTCCTTCCAGATACGTTCGAATAGTGAGGTCAGTGCTTTGCAGAGGACCTCATCTCCATCCTTAAATAGTGCAAGTGGCAGGGAATCCGGGCCAGCAGTACGATAATGATTAAGGGCTGTGATCGCGTTTCGGACCTCGACCTCCGACAGAGGCTCTAAACTAACTGTCCATGGCTCGTCCTGCATCACCTGAGTAGGAAGAGGTCCAGGAACAAGGGGCCAGCTGAACTGATCTTGAAGGTGTTCCACCCAAGGAGCCATACGGCGCTCCTTATTGTGTATCAGTGCATCCGCACTGTCTCTGATTGTCTCACTGACACCTGGTTTCCTAGGACCAGTGGTGCGGATCAGCTAGAAGAGCTTGTGGTAATTGCCTAGTGCTCCTGCATCCTCCATTTCTTGAGCCCGACTGGTCCACCAGGCTTCCTTGTCAGCACGTAGGCTCCGCTTTAGTTCGCGTCTAATAGCCCGTCTGGTCACATTGTGCTCAGAGCCAGCCGGGAGGTTTCTTCTAGATTCCAACAGGTTCACCGACCTCTCGGATATTCAGTGACTGGTGCGGTGACGATGGATAGTGCCACAAGCAGATGCTCCTGCGTCGTGCATGGTGGCCGAGATCCTACGAAGTGAAGCCTTCCCACAAATCACAGATGTAAGGCAACGGGGCATAAACAACAGCGGAGCAGTAGTACAACATTATTAACAGTGCGAATGACGGAAATTCGGTGGATTTCGGGGGTAGGTGCTTACTTCCGTGAACGAGTAGTGTAACCTCCCGAGCGATGGCTCTTTGAACCGGCCGAGTATCCGGCGAAAGCTGTATAAAAAACAAACACTATAGGTAATCAGCAACTGAAGGACAAAAGCGGAATTATCGTAAAAACAGTGCGATCACAAGCACAGCCAACATAGCGATTCAATGTGATCGGCAAGCAAAATGATCAAAATCACACAACACAAAACCTAAGTATAAAATGGAAATGGCGGTCATATTACATACCCCATAAACTGAAGATGAGTCTGGTAGCTACATGCTGAACCCGTTCCAGTCTTTGCACTTCTCCACAAGTGACCGGGCAACAGGCGGGTGATCCGTACTCCAGCATCGGCCTTATGACGGAAGAGAAGAGGCGCGTGGAAATACCTTAGCACTAAATGCAGAAGCAGAGTTTGAACGTCAAAACCATGCACAGTCCGTTTCCATATAGCTTGTTCGTGTTGTCTACGGACTTCAAATCGCCGCGTGAGTGTACGCCACGATCGTGCACGGAAGGTGTGAGATGTAGCGGTTGGCTGGCCCATCAACACGCTTCCTCAAGCTCACATATAACTATCTGACCGAGTTGACCGGCAGACCGACATATGCAAACCACATGGACAGGCGGTCAATGTCATGCTGAAGCACGTCACAATCGTCGGGAGCATAAATTATTCTCCAAATCGACAGGTCACCTGTAAACATGGCGATCTAAAAAGTTGAGTCAGTTTGTTGTTATAGATCAAGAACAAAAAGGGGTACCACACTGGTAGAGGAATACCAGTTCGTTAGATTGTCACCCACCTGTACCTTCCATTTCCGTCCAATAAGAAAGTCGCCGATCCACTTGTGCAGTGGGAAAACAACACCGCACATGCTCAGCTTGTGCAGGAGGACCTCATGATTCACTTTACCAAAGGCTTTACTCAAATCAATGTAGATCACGTAGGCAGACTTCCCCCGATCCAGCGCTTGCAACTATTCACGCCGTGTCAAGAGCAGGTTGGTGATACAGAGGCGATCTTTCAATGAACCGTGCAGAGTCGGCGTCAGAAAGTCTTTCGACTCCAGAGATGAACTGATAATATGCACCTCGATCTTGGTCGTCAAGTAGCGAACAAGCGGGTGATCGTTATGCAACAACCATATATCAAAGGATGGGGCCAGTCTGAAAAATTTGTCAATAGCTAACCGTACAACGTGATTGCCGCCAGTGTAATCCAACAAACAAGTTTCCTAAGTGAAACCCAACAAGAAGATGATCCATGAAGTGTATACGAGGAAATGGGATAGAAATGTAGTAATGGTACGTCCCTCAGTAAAAGGATGTGCAACAAGTAGCTGTGGACCTAGAGATAACTTGAGGCGGTAAGGAAAATGCAGATGAGAAGTCAGATTTAGGGGCAAGTATAGCGAATGGAACGGAATGATCGACTGAGTCAAACGTACTCTTGGTAAGAGAAGAGTGTCTACAGTCAGCTTGGAATACGCGTGGCACGGCCATCGTACGTGGCGCAGGGGGAACACTTTAACCATACAGTCTCGTCCCAACTGAAAAATAGTCCACTCTTCCCTTAGTGACAAAGCTGGTGTATCGCCTTTCGACTGGTTCCCGAATGATTGCCGATTGTGTGCGGTTCGACTTCAAGGCTCTTGAAGGATCAACCGACATTGTGGAGAGACTCAATTTGTGATTGACTACGCTTCAACCAACTGTAGTTGTGTAACGGTTAAGGACGAGTTTTATCGCTGACCACTTGCGTTTGAGCAAAGCCGAAAAATCCGGGGAATCAAGTGCATTGGTCCGTCGTTTGCTATCATGCGAACGTCATCTTCGTGATCATTATGCCCTTGATGAGGGTCGCTCAGATAACGATAGACTTCTCAGGTCATGTGCAGATAAGCGGCTCTTTCTCTCGAACATGAACTTCAAGCATTCGAAGAGATGCGCCGCCACCTGGCTTCCCTCTTTACCAATGAAAGCGTGGTCATAAATTGGTTAGAATGCGATCAGTTACAGATGGCGGGGGAGTGTACGGGATTGCAGAGCGATTTCGTCCGCCTGTCTTGACTCAGATCACGCGCTAGTATGTCTGCCTTGGCGGTTTCTCGAAACCAAAGCACCGTAAGCTAGATACCAACAGGCTAGCTAACCCCGCTATTAAACTGGCCTATTAATACTCTTTATTAGATGTGTTCGTTGGTGCTCCACTTCCAGATATCGAATATCACTGGAGTTTCTTGGAGGTCTGCTTTTCTCCGGCCAGTCATTTTGTGGAATTACTGCGCGTCCTCTGACAAGATGGATTCTCTACTCGCTCTTTGGAATTGTTTGACCGTCGCAGTTATCCCAGCTGATTCAAACCCCGGCGAAGTCCGCCGCAACTTAAGCCAACAATTCAAGCAGAGTTTGCATAACGATCAAAAAACTTGGTGGTCTCAGCGAGTCTCAGAGATGGAGACAGCAGTTCACTCTGAAACTTTCCGCAGACTTGTCCAATTCATTCGGATCATCGGCCACAGAAGAAGAAGCTATTTGCGATGTTGGCGGATTACTAATCACAAAACTGCGTAAACGCGTGGACCGCTGGGCTGAGCACTCCCATCCAAAATTCAGCTGGCGTCTTCCTTCCGACTGCTTAACAAGGACGCCTGATTGCGCGTCTTATAACGCTTCAATGTAACCCACGGAGGTTAGCCGTGAGCTTCGTCACTTGAAATGATGCAAGATCACTGGTTCGGATGGACATCGTGCGGAGTTGTTCAATTACGGTGGCAAGGCAATTGTCAACTAGTTAACAGCTCTGTTCTTCAAGATTTGGTGCGATGAAAAGGTCTCATACTCTTTGCGGGATTCGATTATCGCACCGATCTTCAAAAAGGGTGCCTGTACTTTATGCGCCAACTACAGAGTAATCAGCCTAGTATCCGTCACTTCCAAATTGCTGACATCCATTCTACTTTTCTGGCTAACACCAATTGGAGAACTACAGGCTGGTTTCTTTCCTCATCGAGTATGAAGACCACATGTTGACGCTCCGCCAACTACTCGAACAGAGTTAGTTTAACCGCCAGACAACCATTGTCGACATTTAGACATCCGAACTGCGTTCGACTCGGTCGGTTGGTCTACTTTATGGCATTGTCTGCAAAGGAATGCGGTACCTGAGAAGTATAACGCCATCCTTTAAGTGTTATACAGTACAGGCGCAGTGAGGGCTTATGATAAGGTATGTTTATCAATCGCTGTCACTAGTGGTGTGCGATAAGGATGGCCCATGTCCCCGTCTCGCTTCAACTATGCGATTCAGGATATTCTATTAGGCTGTCCGAAAGGTCTCCAGGGTTGCGGCGTAGAGCTTCTTTCAGGTAACCGCGCGAATGACTTGAGCTAAGCTGAGAATATTGGCTTGCTCCGTGACGACTCATAGATTATGGAGGCCGTTCTAAACCGCTTGGTGATTGAAGTTACCAAGTATGGTATGACCTACGCCCAATCGAAATGCAAAGTCCTACTAAAGGACTGGGATCCACTTGCGCGCAGTTTGAACAAGTAGATATCTCTATCTACCTTAAGAACTGTGTTTCTGCTGACGGCACCATTGTAAGTGAGATTTCTCTCTCCGTATTGTCAAAGCCCGGTCATCTTCCGTTAATCTGAGGCACCTGTGACGTCGTCGTGAGGTTGCACTCACAGTAAAGGACAGTGTCGATAATGCATGTGTTCACGCGCAGGATAGCTCGTGTGGTAGGAACAACACGTTTACAACGACGATGTTAGACGTCGCGTATTGGGTAACATGGGCCTCCCTCTTGACCAGTTAATACCGCTGTGCAAACAGTGAGGACTAGGGCAAATCCCACGCATGCCGTACGAGCATTTACCACGACGCGCTCTATTTGTTCAAGTGGGACCGCACTGGAAGGAATTGCATGGTGATCAACCTACCACATGACCAAAAAATCTCAGAGCGCTGACTTCCAATTTAAGTATCGTCGGTCCCATGCGTCTTCCGGGTCGGAGAGCCAAGAAGGAAGAATAGTGCTAACTGGAAACCCTTGAGGACATGGTGCGGAATCGGGCCCAATGGAAGATATGTCTGAATTTAAGCGCTGATTCTATTGATCAGCACCGTAATCACTACACTGTCAAAGAAGGATAAAAAGGCGTGCGAAAAACTTTTTATTCCTTCATGAATGCGATGGGTTGTGATAAGAAATACACTGGGAGATGTCACTTCTGACCTTAAAGAGGGCATCAGCAGAATGCCAGTACGCAGTACCGACGCTTCGTTGCCACGCAACCACTATCAGTTACGCATGGATTAAGGATACCGCGAAGGCCGCCCGGTCTCCAACGCAGGCTCGAACCTGTGACCTCCGGATTACAAGGCAGGCGTGTAATCCTTTCCGCCATGAGCCGGGCAAAGGCATCAGCAGTATGCTGCATCGACGCTTGGTTACCACGCAACCAACACGTCGCGCGAGGACTAGGGATACTGAAAGGGTCGTTTGGTCCCGTGCGCAGGCTCGAGCCCGCGACATCCGGGTTGCAAGGCAGACGCCTTGTCTTTTTGGCCACGGGACAGCATTTCATGGTACGATATTGTTGGACATATCAAAACCTCTGAAAATCACTCGTGGGTTCATCGCCATCCTTAAAGGTTGCGGTAAAGAAAAGAAATTATTACGATTATACCGTGGCGTAGGTGAAAAGGGTCTAGTTGGGTAAAATAGGAAGGACATGACTCAGGGACAGCGGATGGAGACAGAAGAAGGAACCTGTGATAACCACTATTGCAAAGCGGACCTGATTCATTGCGAAAACAACTCGCCCACAACAGTTGATCGACCCACGTACAAAATTATTGTGTGGACATTGAAAAGCGTTGGAACGTTTCACGGAGTTACTGATCTTTGTGGTGCTAGGACACCGTATCGTTAACCAAGAGTAGGATATCAAACGCAGATGCTAGTCTATGATAGGAAGCTGCAGGTACCGTGCAAAAGCGGTCCACGAAGCGCTGTCTACAGATTGGCTGATCACAGGATGCATGCCAAGGGACGTCAATTGGCCGCCGACAGAGGACCTCGTGACGCAAAGTGGCACAGCACACGTAGGGCATCCGTTTCGCACCATACGCCAATAGAGGAGACTACATGGTGGGTTTTGGTGAGCCTCACGGCATCAAGAAACTACAGGGAAGATAATGTCTAGCAAGATGAGATGAGCGAATTGCTTATGTGGATCGCAACCATACCTGTGCACTTCGGTCTAATTCTCCAAGAGACTGTTCTTCAGCACCGAGAATCCTATAGCATTCAATTTGAGCAAACGATCGCTTCCTGAAAACACTAGTCAATTGGGTTACGATGCCGAGCAACATGGTCGATTGAATAAGCCGTCGCAATCCGATAACGGAGCTACAGAAGATAAATTTGGTAGGGAGTCACTCAAAGGGATCATTGGTACCCATTTCGTAGATGTGATCTTGGAGTAGCTACGTTTGAGGTCGGCCAGCCAGAAGCCAATCAATAAGACAGCGAGGTGACTACGATCATCCAAAGAGAATGTATGGCATTCAGAGCTAAGCAAGTAAATTCCTGGCATCCAGGAAACATTCAGGGAGGTCAATGGAAGAAGCAACTGGAAACAATCGTTGTGTTTAAAGATGGGAACGCGCAATCTCTATGGGGACCGCAATTCACACTTTGCAATGTACCTCGGTCAATTCGGTCTCTTGGGCCGCATCTGAGGCAAAGAGATGTTAAATGTTGCCCTCTCGCAACGCCACAATCGGTTTCGTGTCCATTTGCATGCAACAGGTAGAGATATTAGACCTGTGACTGAAACTCAGGACTTTTGGGATGTCAGCCGAACCAGTTATCTCTAAGTCACTTAACATTAATCCGAGTTAGGGTTTTTTGCTTAACAGCATAATCACGGAGAAAACTGAGACAAACGCTAGCTTCCTCTTTTCGTACTGGTGGCTGTTGACAAAATTCTAGACTCCTGATTAGGAAAAGGGGTTGGCCGGGCCTAGTATCCATGACAGCAGTGTCTTATCCCTTGTACCGTCAGCAGCGACGTAAAAAAATGCAGCTGAACATGCTGTTGGTGAATTACGACACAGAGAAGCAAACCCTAAACCGATCACATATGGTAGTACATCAAGGAAACATAACACGGTAAGAAACAAAACGTCTTAGCTGTTTAGTCCCCTAGTCGGAACGGACGAAATGTTCTTCACAGATAGTACCCCAAGCGCACAGTAGGCACTAGAATTCGGATCGGCACAGCCTAGGTGATCTAGGTGCCAGACGTAATATACACGCGACCTGAGAATAGGGACAAAATAAGTAACCTCGCACAATTGCACTGAAACCTCAAAGAAAGAGTGGTCGTTAACAAGCAAAACATGCTTTCTACATCATCATATTTATACCTCGATATTATGGCGGTGAAATATATAAACTATAGAGGAAGATGAATATTGGCAAGACACATGAGTTACCACGTTGTGGTTGTGTTCTGAGGAATACTCAATATAGGTCAGCGTGGCTTGACACGATAGATACAGCACTGTACTGAGGGAGAGCTCGGGCGAAATCTGCGTAAGTTTCTCGGAGCCATGCGAGCTCCGCTACACATCTAGGTAAATTTAACGGAAGGTGATGCACCAAAATATTTGTTCGAAGTGTAGTTACCCTGTGGGACCAACAAAATAGTGAATAGCAGTGTGAATGGGTAATCAGCCCAAGATAGAAAGAAGTCTACCTTGTGTTCCATCATCAGGCTGTCTATCTCTTCCCTCGATAGGAATGTGAGTTGGCGCAGCAGACGTGTCGAAGCCATATTGTCAGGAAGATTGAGGATGCGCTGAAACAAGTGAAATGGAAGCACTTTTTCTTTGGAGAGCCATAACATGGTCGATTCTGAGCCCGGATCAGTGTCAGACTTCCCAAACTTTTTACCATCCGGTGTGGTGAGCAGTGGAACGAGGAGCCCTACATCGGTTGAAACAAGGAGCGGAATAGACAGTGGTTGATGCTGACAATTAGATAGGAAGTTATTATTCGGACCAAAATCAAACGGTAAAAGGCAGGCCCGTTGGAAAGAGAGCAAGGTGGCAAATTAGGAAAAATACGGACACTATAACGAAAGAGCAACTTAGTGGTAACGCTAAAAAAATGGGGTTAGGCAGCTCGAAAGTCAACCGGCTGAAGCTTAAAACAACCCGTCGTAGAGTCGCCACGTGCAAAGGATTTTTGAAATCACCCCGAGTAAAAAAGAAAAGATAAATCCCAATACTAGAACGAAACACATGCGAATTGGGTGGGATGTCAGTTAGCTAGTGGCCAGCTGTGATCCGGGAACGGAATTGCGTGAAAACGCTTGCGAAACAAAGGTACCCAAAAACGAGAACGAAGTAAGATAGTTAATCTAGTCGATAAAAAAGGAACCAACAGGATTATGAAATATTGGAACTGGAAAATGTTCACAAGAGGATGAGCGAAGGGGCGGCGCTGACCTCACCGCTCAGTCATATCAGACATGGGGCGTTTGATGCCACTTCCATCTAGGAAGGGAAGGAAATTAAGCGCAAACAGTTCCGTCGTGTCCTCTTGCTAAATCACTGTGAATGGAATACATGGTGCAAGAGTAAAGCATGGACTGGCTCTGCTTACCGAACGCGTGTTTCCCCAGTTTGCGTTGCAGCATCGTGAGTCCAACATGAATGTTACCCAACTGATCTTGGCCGCCAATCTGCTCGGTGATCATGCAGTAGAGAATAAGAGCGCCAAGCACACATCGAAATTACCTGAATGCGACAGTTGTAATTGGTATGCAGGTGAGCAAAATCCATCGCCTGCAACGCCGGGTAGAGGAATTCACTTAGGTCCATCCCCTTCCCACTTGCAAGGCGAACTTTGACACTTGGTGAGCAGAGATAGAGAAAGGTGCAAGTCAGTCGAGAGACACGAATAGCATGGGTGTAGCTAACGGCTTAAATGTGAGATCAAGAGAAAGGATCAAAATGTGCGAGAAAAGTAGTGTCGGATAAGCTAATCGTGGCGAAACTAAATTACGTGAGTGAGTCAAGCCGCTGATGCCATTGGGAAGTACACTACGGGGCAGAGGATAGTGTAGACATAGCTAAATGTGTTCCAAGCTGTTGCATGCTGCTCTCATGGGGATGAGCGCCCCACACGGAGTGAGCAAAGAGGTCACTTCTTGTGGTAGCCACGTAGGCCTCTATAATTTGCACATTTTTGACACAGTAGATCCTGGACAGAGGCAGTTCGCTGAGCATGAGAATTTGGCGAGTCTAGTGGGTAACTCGAATGAAGTTAGAGCAAGTAGTAGTAGCAGCTGTAGGGGAAGAACGAAACCATGACATCCGTCAAATAGATTTGTAGTAGTTGAAAAGACCGAGTTTGTTACATCATCGAGGCCAAAAAGGCAGTTTGCATTACGTCACGCAAAATATCCGCGAGTATTGGCGCCCACGTTGGGAGTACAGTTTGGTCAATCTTCTTCAACAATTAAGTCAAACATAAAATGTGGAGAGTGGAAACCGGTTAAGGAGAACTATCGATCCAGAACGTGATGAATTGGTACCAGTACTTATCTAAGAAAGAATATGCCACTGATCGGAGCACGGACCACATGAGTGAATTGACTGCAGGTACTGCTTGCCAAATCAAAGAGATGCGTAGACGGGCACAGCACGCCGGCTTAATAAAAAACCAAACTGTTAATGACGATGATGACCATAACGTGGTGAAAAGGTCAGCGCACCTCTTTGATCCATCGAGCACCTTGAGATTCACTAGTAGCAGATTGGTCAATGATCACAAGTCAGACAAAGTTAGTTTGAAATAAATGGGAATATCCGTAGCTCGGGGTGTGGATGCGGATTTTGAGCTGTTCTCCGAGCTGAGTGATTATTGTGCAGACGTTTCGTTGCCTGACTAGGAAACATCATACGTGGGGCTTCAAGGGCATGGTTCGCAGTGCCTCATAAGCGACTTCAATGTCCGAGTGCTTATTGATCGAGTTCTGATTTGAATGCCAGGCTTCAATGAACTCAGGTGCTTGTCGGCTTTTAGCCCTTCCAAGGATACTGGCATGCTCTAGGTCGAATTGATGGTTCTAGGCATCCATATGCACTGATATCAGTGAGTTCTGACGAATGGCTAAGCTGTGTTCGTGTGGCCTTGTGTCAAGGCTTCCTTCCAGTCTGTCCCACGTAGTATTTATTGCAGTTCCGGCAGCAGATCTTACAAATCACACGAAATTTTTCCTCTTTGCTAAATTTATCTCACTGAAGAGTTTACTGTGAATTGTTACCGTTGGCTGGTGCGCAACTTTGACTCCAAAAGGCAATAAAAGCCTAGCTGCCATTTCAGAGATTCCGTTGATATAGGGCAGAGTTGCTCTCTTTTCAGCTGTTGCATTTGTCGAGGTGTGTTGAGCAGCCTTTTGTGGTGTGATGCAGCGTAGAATGAAGCCTTTTGGGTACGAGTTCCGCTTGGGCAGATTGAAGAGATGGTCTTCTGCCCGTCTCAGCTGCGGTGTGCTACAATGGGTTTGTGCTCGTTTGAAAAGGGTTCGCACGCAGCTGCGTTTGTGGGCCGCCGGACAATTGCTGCCGTAGTTGAGGACCTGGTCCGTATGCGTAGACTTTTGGTAGACTGTTTCCAATCGTTCAGCACCAGTCCGTCGTATGAGAACGTCTAAGAATGGTAACTGCTCGTTGTTCTCCTCCCTGGTGAATTGGGTGCCATCGAACACACTGTTGATTAGTTTGTGTGTTTCCTCCAATTTGGAACGTTTGAGGATGACGAAGGTGTCGTCTACGTATCGCACCCAAAGTTTTGCTCTCGCGATCGGAAGTGCTATTTGTTCCAGCACCAGACCAGAGATCGGCAATCCCATTGGTATGCCTCTGATCTGTTCGTAAATTTGGCCATTGAAAGTGAAACGTGTTGTTAGACAGAATTCCAATAACTCCATCAACTGTTTGGCTTCGAGTTTACTGCTTATATCAGACGACGTGTGCTCCTCTAGCAGGCGCGTCATTGTTTTTTTTTCGCCAAGCTGATGTCGATTGAGGTGAGCAAGGCGGTAACATCAAGAGACCACTATTTCGTTCAGTTCAATGGTTGCGGTTTTAAGTTTCTCCAGGAACTGTTCTGCCGAGTTGATCGAGTGTTCCGATCGCGCGATTAGGTGTTTTAGCCGTCTCTAGAGCTCCTTCGCAAGCCTGTAATTTGGTGCTCCAGGTAACGACGCGATGGGGCAAAGCGACACTCCGCTTTTGTATACTTTAGGCAAGCCATAGAACCGCGGTAGTACCGAGTCTTGTGGTCGCATCATCTTGTGTTCCAATTTTGTGATTTTCACCATTTGTTCCAGTTTTTGCAGAGTGTGTCTGATGTTGCCTTCTAAGCGTTTTGTTGGGTCTTCGTTTAACGGCTGGTATGTGTTGGTATTACTGAGTAGGTGTGCTTTCATCATGTAATCAGATTTGTCCATTATAACAGTAAGGCGTCCTTTGTCGGCCGGTAGCATAACTATGCACTTGTCTTTCTGGAGGTTCTCCAGAGCTTTCCGTTCAGCGGCGTTGAATATGTTGGTTTCAGTTTTATGGCTAAGAGCCGGGATGATTCTGTGTCTGAGCATTTGTTATGCTTCAGGCGCGATGTTGTACGATTTTAGGGTCGATTCAAGTGCAGCGATAAAGTCGATGGGATTGGAGTCCTTAATATTGAGTTGCATACTTCGGACAATGACTGATTTTTCCGCGTCCGTTAATCCTCTTATGGATATGTTTGCAATCAAACCATCGTCTTCCTTAGGTGGTTTCTTTTGCGAGATCGAATTCAGCTTCTCTTCAAGCCTCCGTTTGGTGTTTATCTTTGTCTTGTGTGTTTTGACGGCTATCGCTTTTTCCAATTCTTCCGTCAATTGTGATCCTAGTCTGGATAAGCAAATTGCTTTCTGTTCGTTAATCACCATTTGGTATTTATGCTTTCGACTGTGCGCATCTATAATCAACAGGCGCAACATTCTTCGCCTGGCATTCAAAGCAGAACTCGATCAATAAGCACTCGGACATTGAAGTTGCTTACGACGCACTGCGAACCAGGCACTTGAAGCCGCACTGATGATGTTGCCTAGTCAGGCAACGAAACGTCTGCACAATAATCGCTCAGCTCGGAGAGCAGCTCAAAATCCGCAGACAAACTTAGTTTCTTGGTCCTCTAGGTTGGAAGTTGAGAGAGAGAGAAAGACATAAGCAGTTTGTTGGCTCATCGTACCGACACTTCGTTGCCTAGCGATCAACCGCGCGCATACCAAAGACTCGGCGAAGTCGCCCGCCCATGCGCGCGTAAATCGAACCGGCGTGGCACCCATGCCGGTAAAAGTGGATCAGTGCTCTATTTCCGGTATTCTGTGGTGAGGCTTTTGAACCAGACTTTGGCTAAGTACTCATTCATTGCACTGCGCACTGGCAGTGTGCAGTGCACGTACAACCATGAGTGTTTCATCAAGCCTCAATCACCATCTGCAGTCGTGCAGGTGCAAAAGCATCGTTTTAGCCGATGCATGCAACACGGTGAGTGAAAACATTTGCCGCTGATGTCTACTTTCAAACCTGCTTCTCATACGCCTTCATGGCTCTCATTACTGAACCTCGATCAACCATCTCTTACTTGATTGACGGCAACTACAACACCACTGGAGTTCTGCCATCTGCAGATACAGACCCACTGGCCTTCTATCGTCGACATCCCCTCATACGACCACGCTGCACTGTTTCGCTGGCGTTGTCTAACATTCGTATCCCATAGTAGATAGTTAAACAGGCTGCGATCGTTCAAACGTTGGAGGCACTGAGCGATAATATGTGCTGCATATCCGAAACTAGGAGCAGTGATCATCACCCAGTTGTCGAATTAACTGTGCCCAGCTATCTCCTTGCTACAGACTGAATCCGTCTGGAGACGCAGAATCAGGCATCGAGATTCCATGGAATCGTCTATCCACTGTCATGAGAGACACAGAGGCTCCTACCCGCGGAATTAACGGTCGTCATCGCACTATACATCGGACCGAAGAAACGTTGATGAACCAGTTGGAATTTAAATGAAAATTCTGGCCTGACAACGAGAAAAAAAGAGAATAGGTGGATCAGTAATCGCGGGCTAAAACGGAGCTTGTGTTAACAAGGAAGCATAATGGACCAAACCAGCTCAGGAAATGGATGAGGCAGGAGCGGCAGCGGCCACCAGACTCTTCCAGCTGATTGGTGCTACTAGAGGCAGGAACTCACGTGTCATGTTTCCGAGGAATATACACATTATTATGAGGGTATGCGGGTGTTCTCCGAGCTGGCTGATTTGATTGCAAACGTTTCATCGCTAGGCTAGATGACATCATCAGTGCGATAAATTGATGTGGGCCACTTAAGGATCCAAGTGATTATTGGTCACTTACTGATTCGAACGTCAGGAATCGATTGATCCACGTGAGCTGACCGTGTGGTCAGCTCTCGCGTACTATTGGCTAGAGTCCACCTCAATGACGTTCCTTTGTCCTGTTGATCTGGGGCGGAGTGTTGATTTGACCCTCAGTGCTTCAGTATCTAGATCTGAGTGTCTGTTGATTGAGTTCTTCCCAGAATACCAAGCCTAGATGAACATGCGTGCTTTGCGACTTGTCGACCTGCCTATGATCCTGATATGCACCAAATCAAACTGATGATTTTCGGCGTCCATATGTACCGACATCAAGGAGTTACGGTCATGTCGGCGCATGGCTAGGTTATGCTCATGTAGCCTAGTGCCGAGCTGCCTATCTGTCTGGTCCACATAGTATTTGTTACAACTTTTGCAGTGGATTTTGTAAATCACACCACTTGTTTTGTCTTTGCCAAGCCGGTCCTTAACATTGAAGAGCTTGTTTTGAATAGTTTCTGGCGGCTTGTGAGCAACTCTGATACCGAAAGGTAGTAGCAGTCTCGCTGTCATTTCAGAGACACCGCTGATGTATGGTAGAATGATTGTCCTTTTATCCGTTTCTGATGTTTGTTCATGCGTCAGTCGTTTGATTGATGTTAAACAACGTAGAACGAAATTCCTGGGATATCCATTCCGTGTAAACATTTCGAACAGATGATCTTCCTCCGCTTTCCACAGCTGCAGCCAAATCAGCCAGTTCGGAGAACACCTGCATACCCTCATCCGCATCGCGAGCTACAAATATTCTCACGAATTTCTAACATATTATTATAATCGTGGACAGCAGGAGCACCTAAATGCACAATAGGGAACTCCATCTGCTGGTTGTATGCTTTAGGGAGCAGTCCAATTGGCCCCTTGCTTCTGGACAAAAATTCCGTTCAAGTGCACAGGTAGGATCTGTTATGTCTTCCTAGATTTTTTCACTTCTTAGTCGGAACGGACGGAACACACTACAGATAGTACCCCAAGTGCAAACTAGCCGACTGAATTCAAATCGACACGGTCTAAGAGACCTAAGCGTATGACGTTTGTACACGAGAGACGAGAAGTAAAACGAGACGCGTAACCCCCACAATTGCACTTTAGATCCAAAAAGACTAATCAATAGCAAAAGTCCGTTTCTTGACTCAACCAAAGACAAAAGCCAGCTACACCTTCTTAGTTATAATTTAGTAGCATAGCAGCGTGAGGAATAAACTGTGGAGGAAAGTGAATATCGTTAGGGTTCGCGAGCTACATAGTAGCAGTGTCATTGGGGAGACCTCAGTCGTGGTCTGTGCGGGTTAAGTAGGTCCATAACGGCAGCGTCACTGAGGTAGCATAAGTGGGATTTGCGAGTCTTGATTGGATATATAAAAGTGGTGTAATCGATGGGAGCTTGAATTGCAACCCTGTACTTCAATATCTCGGAATAGGTTTGGAACCGACTGGTTCATGATCACAGGTTTTGAAAACACATCGATTTGGTAGGTTTTTATTATGGTAACGTTTTGCTCTGGGCACCAGAGCTTCTTCAGACCAGGAAGCTCTTGCGTCAAGAACGAAATGTTTCCATAATAAGAACCTACAAAACCGATTTGTATTCAAGACCTACTGAAATCAGCAAACCTACACTGTTTGTGTTGGCACATAACGGCGGTATCAATGAGGAGAGCACAGCCGTAACCTGCGCAGTCTGAATCCCGGTATGGCTACACTATTGCTGACCTTGCTAGGGAGCAATGCTCACGCGTGCTCTGCGCAAGTTTCGGCGTAACTACGCGAGTTCCGCAATGGAACAATTACCGGTCAGCCAAGGCTTCATCGCAGGCTTAGGTCTGAAACGCGATTAGAGCCTTCAATAGTTTCTGCGTTGTAAGCCTAGACTCTCCCGTATCCGTTTCACTTAAGGGTGGTGGTAGTGGTTCTTCTTGAAGGACTGACCAATCTGTGCGGAGGAGTATGGAAGGAAAAGACGGTCCCAGCTGACTGTGGTGAACTGATCAACCGCAACGTGCAAAATGGGCGCGCAGACCGTTGCTGCTAAGCAATGAACTAACGCAACAAGCGGAAACGTTGTTGGCCTCAATTATTGTCAGCAGAATTACTGGGGAAAGGAAATCCTGGATGAGGAAATAGCAGGCCGGGTTCTGTCAGATTCGGAGTTACATTAACCATAATTTCACTCTGTGGTAGGTAAAGCAGCGTCGTGTGTGTCGCGGGCCAACAACAGATCTGTCCCACGAGTTTAAGAACCCCTTCAAATCAGTTAAGCGCTCCATTCTTTCGGCATATTTGTATGGAAAGGCGTTGCTATCAAAAAAGTGAACACTACGTGCGTTGTGCTCGAACACCACAAGTAGAGTGAGTCTACGGTAAATTATCGGACACTTATCTGACAAGTGATGGCACTCGCCATTTTATCGTGGATTCCAGCATGTCACTTTGCAGAACCTCAAAAACCAGAAACTGAGTGCTTCTTGGAGAAAAATTAGTCGGTCTAGATAATGTGGACGATATCGGCTTGTAACGCAGTCCATTCTTAAGGCATCCACTTCGCAGCAGGACCGCCATTCAGTTGATGACCCTTGATTGCTGAGGACGATGAGCTGAATTTAAGTCATGTAGTGAGAAAGCACTACATTCTGCCTGCGGCTCGTTCTCATTGTCGGACAGCACCAGAGCGTTAGCGATGATGATGTATGTAGGCGTTCCTGAAGTGGAGCAGTAAATGCCAGTGGATAATTGTGAAGAGCACTAGCAATTCGCGATGCGAATGAGGGTGTTAGTTGTACTCCGAAGTGGGATTTTCAGTTGCAGACTTTTCGTTGCCATGTACAGTAACATCATCAGCGCCACTTCTGGGGAAGTGACTTACCAATGCTCCCTAAATGATTTCATCTCTGGTTAGAGGTCAGGATTTGGCTTCTATGCGCCTCACTGACTTTTATTGGATTGGTGAGTAGAGTTGACAAGGTAATTGTTTATTTTGTCTCTCTGACCTGAGGTAAATTGGTGGTCAGCAAGACAGACTCTAGTCCCAAGTGCTTACTGAATGAATTCTGCCCCGAGTACCAGGTTTCGGTGAATTCGTGAGTCGCCCAACTTCGTGCTCATCTAACTGCCCTGACATTCTCCAGATCAAATTGATGATTTTCAGCGTCTATATGAGTTTACAATTATGCTTTCTAGTTAAGAAATTGAATGGCCAAACTATGTTCCTGTAGGCTAGTGCCAAGCTTTCCTCCCGTTTGTACAAAATAGTATTCGTCGCTTTAGTTGCATAAGAATAGATAAATCCCATCCTATATTTTCCATTTGCCCAGCATATCCTTAACATTGAAGAGCTTGTTTCAAGTCAGTCTCGTTAGGTTATGACCGAGTTTGATCCAGAGAGACAACAGAATTTTCATGACGTCTCAGAAGTATCGTTGATATACAGTAGAGAAATTTTCTTCTTACACGTTGCGACCATTAGTTTGAGTGGCGGCCACTTTTATGATGTCATGCAAATCGGAATGCAAATTGGGATATGAATTCAGTTTAAATATGTTGAGAAGATCGTTTCCCCCCGACTTCATCAGCTGCGGCGCGTGGCAAGGTGTTGGGCTCGTTGGAAAAGAGTTCTAAAGCAATGACGTTTGTCTATTATCGGGTGATTGGCGCGATAGTTCAGGATTTGACCTGTGTGTGTCGGTTTCTATTAGATTGTTGGGCCAATGGAAACATGGGTCTACAGGAAACAACGGAACAACTAAATTCGCTTAAAAATAATTTGTGTTGGTCTGGCCATGTGTTACACATGCTACATTAGCGAGAAGTGGCTTGTTCCGTTTGGAGGACGTACGATGTCATAAAATTCAAGGAGAACAAAAGTCAATTTATAAGCAGAAAGCAAAAGCGACACTGATCAAGCTAGGCGCTGTTAGTCATTTTCGTCTTTCAGGCCGGGGTCCACGCGATCCAACTAGTATTTGGCTCGAGATTTTGCGGGACATGGCTAGTAACTGTTATCAGTGGGGCACTTGGCGTCGTTTCCTAGTCGGACTGCCAGTTTAAAGTGTATCCGAGGTTGAGTTAGCTGTGGGGTTAGACTGCTTATAACAAGGGGTAGTGAAGGCTGAAAGGAAGTTGTATCACTGGTGCAGCCTTATCCCCTCGTGACAGTCAGCTGTCTGTGACCAGGTGCTGCTGACAAGATATAGGCATTCCGACCCTGGACGTTTGCTCTGAACATTTAGGTCCCTCTTTCCTCTTCTTAATAATTATCATCACTAAATTCACCATAGTTGTATAGTAGTGAAATACAGGTACAACGTACTGCTACTAATGAGGATACCGATGAGAGCAAGTGGGTGAGACAAAGATGAAAATGATCGTGCAGTAAGGCAAGGTACTGAAACAGTCAGAGACCAGCATCATAAACTGCATAAGTATTCAGATTAAAGACGTAGGTTAACGATACCTTTCTTTCTCTAAGAGTTCGGGAACGCGTAGGTGGTGGGCAAATTCGTTTAAGAATGCTGTGAATCCGACAGCGTTTAACCAATCACCATTTCGGAGTACATTGATTGATTTAAGATGCGTATGAGTACACATGCGGGGTAAAAAATGATCCCGATAATTTCGCAATATACGTTGCAAATCTTGTTCGATACCAGCCGCATTAACCTCATATTGATTGGTCGTTTGAACTGAGCGTTTTACGACTCGTCCGCTGGGATCTCCGATGGACGCCGTGCCGGTCCCTATCTAAAGCGACAATAAAGTAAAGGATACAAAAACATTCACTCACAACCGCGATTACACCGTAACCAAGCAGGTGACAGCGCAGTAATCCAATAATTGCGACCAGATTTCCTACTTGAAGGCTGGGCGCAGAAGGATCAATGCCAAGGTAAACAGAACTGTCTTGTGCCTCGTGCAGATACTTTTCGCTGTGCATTAAGTGTCGTGTACGCATGTCTACTCACCTATTTGTTGGAATGAGTTCAGAAAAATAACCTTCTTTCACAAACTCGGCGACAGTCTGACATGAGTGAAATCTACCCTTTCCACTGAAGGATGTAATCACTGCACGAAAAACTCGAGTAGCAGTAAACATGACGCTGAAAATGGAAGATACATGTATATAAACAGATAAACAACTACGAGTGGAGCATCGAAACGAAGTGGATTTAACAGCGCCAATTCCACAGCAAGAGCAAGAAAGCAGCAAGCGATTGAGTAGAAAATATAATAAGGAGTTGGAAGGGTAACAAAGTCGTTTGGTGGATGAACAGGTAGTTGAAAACAAAAACAAAACGGAATGCAAAAGCGGTACTGATTTCGGGGTCATCATCATCATTATACACGTTAACTAAAGATGGGAAGCAACTCAGCTGCTGTGCCGCAATACATAAAAAAGAAAATAAATACAACTGGTGGAAGCCAGCTGAGCTACCGGTAACGGATGAGCATCGTTCCGATGAGCTACTAACTGGCTACTGTGCATCAGAAAAATCACTGTGCAAAATTAGTGTGATCGTGGTTGGAGGGGGACGCTAAGAGGGATGGGGTGGGACAGAGAAACATCATCATCATCATCATTATACACATCAGCTAGAGGTGGGGAAAACACCTCCGTTATTGTGCCGCAATACATGAAGGAAATACATACATGGTTGGCGGCATCCGGTTTCGGATTTGCCTGTCACTGTGGCAAGCCACAGGACGCCTGCGCCTACAGAGGGACCATGGATGGCTTGCGCTGCACCACCCACAGCTCCAACCACATACCTCATATCCAGTGTAAACCCGAAGGAATAAGACCGGGAGGCATGCGGATGGGAACCACGTTCCATCAACGGAGCCGGCCCACACTCCTTCACAGGCAAACACAAGCACGCTGTATTTGGGGAATCAACCGCACACAAGGCGGTGGCTGGACCGTAGTCCGCTCCACACTGAGTGCATGGAACCGCTCTTTGAGCCTAGCACGGCCACAAGAACCGTGCACCCCGTCCCCTCCAGCAACGACCAACTGTCTCCTGGAGCCAGTATGAACGATGTAGTGGATAATAGACGGGTAGGCACCTTGTCAACATACACATCAAGCGCAACCATACCAGGGATATCAAACAACACCCATTCACTTTAAACGACAAGCTGAAATAAAATAAATCCAATAATGTATACAGATACGGTGGCATAACTCTTCGCTAAATTACCATATGAAGTAAGTTGGTTAGCAACAAATCCGTGATAAGTAAGAAATGTCCACAAGTTACTTAAAATGCTACAAACGCAACAAAATTACCGAAGATAAGCGCAATTAGTGTAAGCAACGTGGCCAGTTAATAGAACATTATTCAAGGAGGCAGAACAAACCAAATAAAGCGGAATGAAATTTAGCCAGCTTAAAAAGACCTAGTTTAAGTGTACGTTGGTTCAGCCCAACTGCGGTGAAGAAGCATCAAGAATGCAACATCAGCCTCAGCATGGGGCACAATGAAGGAAATACATGGTTGGCGGCATCCGGTTTCGGATTTGCCTGTCACTGTGGCAAGCCACAGGACGCCTGCGCCTACAGAGGGACCATGGATGGCTTGCACTGCACCACCCACAGCTCCAACCACATACCTCATATCCAGTGTAAACCCAAAGGAATAAGACCGGGAGGCATGCGGATCGGAACCACGTTTCATCAACGGAGCCGGCCCACACTCCTTCACAGGCAAACACAAGCACGCTGTATTTGGGGAATCAACCGCACACAAGGCGGTGGCTGGACCGTAGTCCGCTCCACACTGAGTGCATGGAACCGCTCTTTGAGCCTAGCACGGCCACAAGAACCGTGCACCCCGTCCCCTCCAGCAACGACCAACTGTCTCCTGGAGCCAGTATGAAGGATGTAGTGGGTAATAGACAGGTAGGCACCTTGTCAACATACACATCAAGCGCAACCACACCGGGGATAGCAAACAACAGCCATTCACTTTAAACGACAAGTTGAAATAAAATAAATCCAACAATGCATACAGATACAGTGGCATAACTCTTCGCTAATTTACCATATGAAGTAAGTGCGTTAACAACAAATCCGTGATAAGTAAGAAATGTCCACAAGTTACTTAAAAATGCTACAAAACGCAACAAAATTACCGAAGATAAGCGTAATTAGTGTAAGCAACGTGGCCAGTTAAGAGAACATTATTCAGGGAGGCAGAACAAACCAAATAAAGCGGAATGAAATTTATCCAGCTTAAAAAGACCTAGTTTAAGTGTATGTTGGTTTAGCCCAACTGCGGTGAAGAAGCATCAAGAATGCAACATCAGCCTCAGCATGGGGCACTCATACATACATACAAATAATACAATACACAAAGGAAAAAATAGATACAACAGTTGCATGCCAGCTGAGCTACTAGCAACGGATAGGCATCGTTCCGGTAAGCTTCTAGCCAGCTACTAGACAAAAAGAAATTTTGTTTAAATGTTTTACCCTAGGAAATGATATCAGAGATGGAGGGGGAGGCTAAAAGGGATGGGGAGGGACAAAGAAACTCACAGCACGAACGCCACTGAGGTCGGCTCCTAGGCATAACAACAAGTGTATCCAGCCAAACGTGTTCATCGTCTTTCGGACTCCAACCAGGGAGCCAAGACGCTCCAACCGAGGCCAGCTCCGAAGTGAGGGCCTTCATTTCTCTCGACCAAGTCATCGTTTGGCCACCTCTCCTCTTCTTCCATCCACACCCACGGCGCGCAAACAACGCACGCCGCGGGAGTCGGTTGGCTGGCATGCGTAACACGTGACCGAGCCATCGGGGTCAAGCAACGTCAGATGAGGTGTCCGATCAGAGATGTTGCTGGTCTTGAGTTTCACATGCAGGAAGGCAGCACAAATCAAACAGAGTAAGGTACTCGGTGGGTTCAGTTATACTACTAGGTAACACTGCTGGCCCGTGGCCGAAAGGTCAAGGTATCTGCCTTGCAACCTGGAGATCATGGGTTTGAGCCTGCGTAGAGGACCGGGCGACACACGCAGTATTCTTAGCCCATGCGCGACTGGTGGTGGTTGCGCGGCACGGAAGAGTCGGCACTGCTTACCGATGTACCGCTGATGCCATTCTGAACACCGAAATGCGGTGGATCCAGTTGCCAAGACTCACAAGTAACAAGAAATAACACCGGTATGATGATAATGGGATTGGGTGCAAATATAATATAAAGAAAATGAAAGCAAGAAGGAAATGCGTTAGACTAATCAGAACGGAACAAAAATTAGCAAGCAGATGAAAGAAGCCGAATGCAAGAATGCCACTGACTTCGTGACTGCGCCATGTCTGACGGTCGTCAATCGTTGGTGCGAACCGTCCCGACGCTCCAATCCAGGAAGACGGTACGCATCAGCCTGACCAAGTCTATCAGTATATCTCTTCAAGCTTATATGTCATGTCCTGGACTGGCCACGTCGAGGTTTCGTCCAAATTGATGCATTCAAGGCGCATAATGTGTTATGACATTGTCGTGTGGTTCTCCTGCATTTTCTATACCTGCATTGTTTACTATACATACTGTCTTTTGCTTTATAGCTCCCAGTCTGATTCTCAGATGTGTAAAGCTTTATGAATCGGGGCTTCGTTTCCTTTCCTGCCTGAACCGACGCGCACGTTTGCTATTCACTCGTATCAATTTACTCATCTAAATATCTATGATGGAACGTGTCCTTTAACCTGATCGCTGTGATATTGAGTCTGACAGTCCTAATGCTGCTTCCCTATGTAAACATTGGATCTATACTTCCTAGAATTTTTTGTACGCAATCGAAGCAATACAGTCAGAAAAACTTAAAACGCTTGTTCATTACATTTCTGCTGCCAACTTTGGACGAAGCACTGACTGCACATCTTACGATACAGGCATACCGACCTTATCTTCCCTTTACACGCTGCCCCGCTGCCTTCCGGGTAGGTTATTTAGCCAAAGGCTCGGGGTGGAGTCCCCTAAGTCAACTCCCTACTTCGGCTTGGGCAACCGGGTAGTATCACGCCCTCTCACAAAACCATGGACTGCACTACAACGCGCTCATCAGCTACTGTTCCTGCTACTCACTTTCACGTTACTCCATCACACGCCAATTGTTTGTTTGCTAACAATCCTCACTTTCGGTTACCCGATTCATCTGTTCAACAATCTGGCTGCGATTCCGGTTGCTCCGCAGATCAAGGAATTCAACCTATGGCTCTCCTTCGTCCCAGATCCTCGTTCCGTCTGGCGTGCTTCAACGTCCGGACACTCATGCAGATTGGACAGCAAGCCGGTCTAGCGCGCACCCTAGCTTCCATAGACATTGATGTCTGCTGCCTTTCAGAAACCCGATTGCAAGATCCCAGCACTGTGCTTACATTGACATCCCCCACTGACCACGAAGCCAGATATCACCTGCGTCTTTCTGGAGATCCAGAAGCAAGCTCAGCGGGTTTGGCTGGTGTAGGTATAGCACTGAGTGGCAAGGCCGAGGCGGCACTACTGGACTGGTTCCCGATTAACAGCCGACTATGTGCAGTTCGGCTTCGGGGTTCATGTAGAATCAACAGGCAACGCGAAGAGAGACGCAACTTGTTTGTGATCTCTGTGTACGCTCCAACTGACTGCAGTGGCGACTCGGTCAAGGACGGTTTCTACCGAGATCTACAACAGCTCTTGACTAATGCTAAAAAGTCGGATGTCGTTATCCTTGCTGGGGATTTTAATGCACGGGTTGGCCGCCTATTACCATACGAACGCCACCTTGGTGGTCATCACGCGCTCGATGAGAACCGCTCTGATAACGGAGAGAGACTTCTCACATTGTGCGAGGACAACCGTCTGTTTCTTTCGAGCACTAACCTCAGGCGTACGAAGAAGCGTTCCTAAACTTGGCGTCCCCCTCCTTCAACACAACCTTGGTCTCAAATTGATCACATTGCGATTAGCTTCAGATGGCGCGGCAGCATACTGGACTGCAGGTCCTTTTGGTCCACTTTCGTTGATTCAGATCATGCCCTGGTCTGCGCGAAAATCTGTATGTTTTTTGGAGGATTCCGAAACACGAAGCACCGCAAGATTGATGTAAACAGATTAACT